AGGCACGCTCGCAAAGGCACATAGCCCCCGCCACACACACGCACGGCACGCACGCCCGCACGCACCGGCACAGGCACGCTCGCACCGCACGCAACGCACACGCACGCACGCACGCACGCCACACACCACACACACACAATCTCTCTTTTTTCCACCACGCCGTCACCACTACGTCACCGCGCCGCCACCACGCCGTCACCACTACGTCACCGCGCCGTCACCGCACCGTCACCACACCGTAACGACGCTGTCACCAAACCTTCACACCGTCACAGCACCGTCACACCGTCACCACACCTTCACACCGTCACCACGCTGTCACCATGCCATCACACAGTCACCACGCCGTCACCGCGCCGTCACCGTGCTGTCACTGTGCTGTCACCGCGCCGTCACCATGACTCACCTGAGTGAGAGCAGCTTGCCGGTGAAGGTGGGCAGGAATCCCGAGGCTGGGTCGGTGTCGGCGGGCTCGAGCGAGGCGTACTCGTGCAGCAGCAGGTCGTCCTCGGTGATGTACTGCGGCACGAGCGCGCGTGCAAACGACACGTCTGTGTGCTGCAACAATGACATCAACGACGCTCACACCTGCCAGCGCGATGGTCAGGCTGGTGGGCAGGGTGGAGGTCAGGGTAAAGGTCAGCGTGAATGTCAGGGAGAAGGTCAGAGTTAGGGTCATCGTGAAGGTCAGGGTAAAGGTCAGGGTGAGGGTCAGCGTGAAGGTCAGGGTGGAGGTCAGCGTGAAGGTCAGGGTGGAGGTCAGGATGAGGGTCAGCGTAAAGGTCAGGGTAAAGGTTAGAGTAAAGGTCAGGGTGAGGGTCAGCGTGAAGGTCAGGGTAAAGGTTAGGGTGAGGGTCAGCGTGAAGGTCAGGGTAAAGGTTAGGGTGAAGATCAGGGTGAGGGTCAGCATGATGGTCAGGGTAAAGGTCAAGGTGAGGTCAGAGTAAAGGTCAGGGTAAAGGTCAGGGTGAGGGTCAGTGTGAAGGTTAGGGTAAAGGTCAGCATGAAGGTCTGTATAAAAGTCAGTGCTAATGTCAGAGTTAAGATCGGTGCAAAGATCTGCATGAAGATCATAGTGAGGGTCAGGATTAAGGTCAGCATGAAGGTCAGCATGAAGGTCAGTGATCGTAAGTGTTAAGACAGTAAGGCAACATTTATTAAGTGATAGCTATAAGCTGGTTCAATGTTACTACCTCCAGTCGAGTGATGTTGATGAGCGTGGACGAGATGGAGCCACTGGTCACTGTCAGCTGGTAGATGGCGCCACAGTGACGTATGTAGAGGTGATGCAGGGGTGATGCAGGTGCAATGTCCTGTAGCACAGCGAGTCTCGGTATACCTAACACACGTATAAACACAACGCAATGTTTGCTATGATCAAGGAGCATTCTATTTGGCCTACATTAGTAAACATACCCAATAAAGGAATACTATACCCTAGAACTTTAGAGTATATAAGTATATTATGATAGCAAGTGCCTAAATAATAGAATATATACCTACACATGCATTTCTATAATCACGCATTCACATGATGATTTCCTTTAATGATTCAAAGCAAAACGTTGTTTTAGTAATATGACTGCGGGCGTTGGCTTTGGATCCGTTCGTGAGGTGATGCGCAGTTCGCATGCTGAACATAAATAGGAAATGCGTAGGCCTACCTGTTTTGCCATACAGCAGCACTCCCAAAGAAGTTTCCAGTACGATTGAGTTATCATTCCTGCTCATGGCTATAGATGCGATAGAAGATCCATTCTGTGGGTGCAGCTTTTCAAAAAAGTTTCCACCGTCGAGCGATAGCCACACCTTAAAAATTGATGTTTTCACAATCACAAGAGCTAATCGTGCTGGATGAACTAACGTGATTGTAGAATGAAATCAAAAGAGATTTTCAGAAGAGAATCAAATATTAGTGGTGGTCATAATCAGACATGTAAACGACGCAAAGGGAACTGGATGAGAACAAACAGAACGAGTACAGATATAGTCGATGCAGTTAGTGTGTATGATAAGAGTATAATGCTAGCTGCAATGAGAGTAATAACTGACGGCCTGGGATAGCCAATAGTCCAGTAGACGTATTACACACACATACACGAACGCACGCACGCACACACACACACACACACACACACACACACACACACACACACACACACCAAAACCCCACATACTCACACCCACCCCACACCACGCCGCGCGCGGCACACAGCCATCACACACATACGCATAAACACACAGCCTGGACCATACCAGACCGAACACTCGGCGGAGCTTGAAGCCCCGTTTCGGGGTTTCGGTGGCCCGCGCGGGTCAGGCATTCCGACTGTCCGTCGGGCCCAACGCAGTGTGGTTAGCCGCCTCGACGCGCTTGCGGTGCGCAGGCGGCCATGCAGGACCCCAGCGGACGGGACACACACCACGCACGGCACGCAACGCAACGCACGCACCAGCGTCAGCAACGCACGCAACGCACGCACGGCAGCACACACACACACACACACAACAACACAATACACGCCGATCAAGACCAGTTTACGATTTTAGAACTGGTTGCACATATACCTCCGATCCTGTAGGCGTAGAGGTCGTTGGGAGGTTGGATTAAAGGGGCGTACTAATCAAACTGCCATCCGGGAACGAGAAGGGCGGAAGAAGACCTTTTTGATAAATTTCCTACGCTGTCCAGCTGTCTAACTGCACATGCCTCTTTCCCTCCTAACAGTTAAATATAAGACGTATCCACGGTCATAAAAAGGCTGTAAAGAGATTAGTGACGCTTTTAATTCATTTTCTGGCCCAAATACATGGGAACATCGATGCGTTCATTATATACGCGTCACGTTGATTGTGTGATCACAATGGTGGCTTAACAAGACTGCAAGCTTACGAGGTTTTTTCTACTACACCACGTTCGATTATTATTGTAAATGATGTATAATTAAATATATTCTGTGTCCGGATCGCCTAATCAGGTTTCGATCTCCTGAATCTCGTTACAAAAACATCATAGTGTTTAGCGATGCAAATGGCTATAAGGCCCGCCGCCCACTTGTTACACAGTAATTGCCAAAATAGGAGAATAAACGGTTGACACCATCGGCAGCTTACATAAAACAGACAATTTATTAGAAAACTTGGCATTTTCTAATCAAGCAAAAGCCACTGATTGGATAAGAATTTATCACAAAATTAAAATTTAAATTCAATTATTTGTGACCTGCAGAGATAATATTTATTATTGTGATAACGTGTGAGTGTCTAAATATATAGGATGTGACAAAAACGAGATATGTGTTTAGCACTGGAGAATGTGTTTGTGAGTTGTACAATCCGTGAACCAAGAGTCCACAACTAATATGAAAACCTTAATGTAGAGTGACGCTTGGAAGCTCGCACTAAGCAGGAGCATGCTAAAAGAAACCTGATGTTACGTGCCCAACCATAAGCATGGTTTAGTGCTGCAAATAATTTAATTGGCTAATTGATACACAGCTTCATCACCAGTGATGAGGTAGCAGAAATATGGACGCGTGTTATTCAAACTATATATTTATATATAGTATATATATATATATATATATATTTATACTGAATCATTACGAATAATACTATATATCTTATCATAATCAGGAGATAATGAACAAATAAATTTGTCTCATTACTCCTGAATCAGTATCTGATATATCAAACATATTGAATTAATCATTTATTAATTATTTTATATGATTTATATATTATATATATTATATACATATATATAGATGGATGTAAATAATTAATTAATGATAAGTTAATATGTTGTCTCATATACTCTGATATGATAGATAGTATAGGGGGTTATATATAGGTGTGTATAGGCATGTCCATAGTGGGGGGCGGATTTGGTTTCGTTGGCAGTGTGATGAGCCTAGTTACGTGCGACTGTTTGATTTGTCTGAACGTACATTTTCTGATATGAGCAAGGTGACTGCATCTCATGGTGGTGGTTGTGCTGCACGGATTAGCACCGCTTTGCAGCTAGCGGGTGCCAGTCTCAGCGCTATATGAGGGCACCCGATGTCGTAAATGGTGCAAAGCTGTAGACGGCGCCCATCCTCGACCTGCCAACGCTGTGGATCATCGCGCAGTGTATAAAAGCCACCAAGTCTCCTGCACGCACGAAAGCAAAACTATTAGAGATACACGGGGACATTCTTCACACAAAGAAATATTATATAACATATCAAAATCCTTACACAGTATATACCATGACGTTTGTCCTGCGTGCGTCCGGTACGTTGCAGTCAGTGTTGTGTCGATGTCCGCCGCCCCCCGGAGTCCCGAAGTCCGCGCCAGCCGCGAGTCGCGATCCGAGTCTGAGTCCACAACCAGCCGATGTCCGAGTCAGAGTCGAGTCCAGTTTTGATTAAAAAAAAAGGAGGAGCACAGACCGACAAGGCCACTCACTTCTATTTGAAAGATCATGTACAATTGTAGCCACGACTCTTATGCTTCTATGTATGTGTTTGTTCAACAATGGGGGGGGGGGTCTCCGCCGCCCCTGATCTGTCAGCTTGTTTGGCATGAAATAGAAAGTAGACAGTAAAACTTTGCATAAGCCGAGACACTTTTGGAACCGCAGCATATTGGTGTGGACTTAGGAAAAATGACGGACTTACGCGTAAGTCATCATTTTGTCGATTTATACACGATGTATGTATGCGCGTATACCTTATTTACATGTGTGTGTGTGTGTGCAATATATATATATATATGTGTGTGTGTGTGTGTGTGTGTGTGTGTGTGTGTGTGTGGTGTGTGTGTGTGTGTGTGGGTTGCGCTTGATGTGTTTGTGTGTGGTGCGTGTGCTGGTGTGTGTGTGTGTGTGTTGTGTGTGTGTGTGTGTACGTGTGTGTGTGTGTGGTGTGTGTGTGTACTGCTGTGTGTGTTTTGGGTTGATTGATACGTGTGTGTGTATGGTGTGTGTGTGTGTGTGCGTGTTGTGTGGGTGTCGTGTGATGTGTGTGTGTGT